TAAAAAAAAAAAAATGAAGACCCACAAGGAATTTTTGTAAAGGAAGCTGTAGTTCCCTTTGGGCTTTTGGCTTGAGGGATCAGACCTTAAGCTCCTTTAATTGCACCCTCACAGGGGCAGCAAAAATAGCTCAGCCTGGGACTGTAGTGCCCCAGGCAAGAAACTTGGATTTAAAAACTTCTTAAAGTTTTCACAGGACCCATAAATAATTCAGAAGTTTTTCCAAACAACCATTGAGCATCCTTTAAGCCTACTAGTCAATCCAAAGTAATTTCCCCCTTTTTACGTTAAGCAGGGTCCTAAAGTGACTCTGTCAGGACTAGGCAAAGAGGAAAATAGAGGCTCCTGCTTGTGAAATAGACCTGAACCACATCTCAAAGTGGACAAGAAAGAAAGTCCAGCCCTCCACAGCTGGAAAGCAGCACACATACCAATGATCTCAGCACTGGACAAGTCTTTGTCAGCTGCTACTTACACCAATGCGGAATCAGAATCCAGCCTAAGAGGCGGTCTGTGCACCAGAGTCCTCCACCTGGTTATGTCTGTGTGTGCGTTTGGGGGCGTGGGGGAGTAGGGTACCGTGTCTTCAGGAACCACAGTTCATCAGTCACTCAGTTCCCACTGCTCATGGCAGCTGCCCAGTGTGACCTCAGCACAAAGCACTGAGCCAGGTCTCTTTAACCCACTCATACTCAGTGCCCTACCCAGCTTAGCATTTTCTGTTCATGGAGACTCCTGGGGGGAAGAAGGGATCCTAATATCCTGACCTTCTTGGGGACCATCAGTGATCATTTTATTGAGAAACTGAAGAAAATAAGGGTCAAGATACACTGATTTGGCTGGATACCAGAAAGTCAGTCAGACGCGGTCTTTTTGGCATCCCAGACTCCTTTGTTTCTCTAAAAAGGAACTTCCTCACATCTATATATTTCATATTTGTAAGTGGGCTTGCAGAGCTTTCCAGGACATAGCCGGCATTCAAACTCATAGCATCCTGATTTTTTTCAATTCCAATAGAAAATTCTCCTCTGATTTCTTAAATCAAATTTTTGGTCCAAGCAGGCAGAGGGGTTGACTGCCCTTGGATCACTGGTGCACTTTGGTCCAAGCAGTTGCCAGTGGCGGGTCACATGGCTTTGAACATGGCCACCTAAGTACAGTCCACAGGGGAGAGGTTAGAGGGATTCAGGAGCTTGAGCTACCTGAGACAGGCACTCAAGAGTTGTGCGTTAGCTTAGTCACCAATTAAGAATCAGGTGTGAATGGCATGGGAGGAAGATATTACACAAAAGAACTGGTTTATTGTAGTCTTAGCCAATATCCCTGGGTGAGATGACGGGGACAGTGGAGACCTCCAGGAAGCCTACTTTGGGACGAGCTGCTCCCTGCCAGTCCCCAAGGGGAGATGCCCTGGACCCGGGGAGACTCTGCTTGGCACCAGGTTGGCCCGCTCCACACAGAAGGCATGGAATTGTTATTCAGATGAACTTTGAGTAATCTGAGGCAAAATGGAACCAAATTAGTACCTCTAAGCCCCTGCATGGTTATCTCCCTGGAACATTTGGGCCTGTCACACATTCCAGGAGGGAGAAGAACCACAGCTGCAGCCACAGCTGCCAGGAACAGGCCTGGGCTCAGGCCTGTGAGGGGAAGGGGCAGAGGCTGGAGGGCTTCCTCTGGGGGCCCGAGTGAGCTCACACTCACCCCCATGCTCAGTGACTTCATCCACCCCAGGCAGCTGGCTAAGGGCCCAGGCCTGAGGGGCTCTCCCAGAACAGTCCTCGGGCCACCCTGCAGAGGTGGGGGAGGGTGAGTTCCAGGCTTAGCCAGCAATCCAGAAACCAGGGTGGGGGTGGGGAGCACATGGAACTCTCAAATGCCAGATGATTTTGAGGAAAAAAAGGGGAGGGTGATGGGTGGTGATGTGGTGGTGTGGCACTTTGCCACTTCAAGGTAGAAAAACGCAAGGAAGGAAAGCTGTTTTCTGTTTTCTGGCAATCCCAGTGCAGAATTCCAGGAGGCACAAGGATGACATCATGTCTTACACAACTGGAACTTTTGGTAATTCTGTGAAATGGAGCCCCTGCCTGGCCGGCCTTTCTGATGGAAGCTGCTTTACATTTATGTGTTTAAAGCTATATGTTTTATCACACTTAAATGAGGGCTTGACATCTATCTCGTGCATGAAGAGCATGTAAAATGAACTTCACTTTTCAAATCACAAACATTTGGAGTCCAGGGATGGGTATTATTAGAAAGTTACAAAAGAAATGTCTTAAAAAATAACAAAAAAGTTTGAAAATTGACCCCCTGACCCCAAAGTCCAAATAATAAAGGTCTAGGTAACCATTAAGGTAAATGCTTCATATAGTCATTCCTTTGGTGGGAATGAGTTGGAGCGGAACTGTAGATTCAAGTGTGTGTGCAAGGACTCCCCACAGGCAAACCCAAACCCACGGGACAGACACACAGTTGAGTTTTTGTTGTTCGAGGCACTTCATATCCACATTCTAAAGTCTGCCACCTTCCCATCACATCTGACAATTTACTTCTTTGGAGGCAGGACATTTTCTTCAAAGAAGCCTGGGTTGACGACATTCCCAGCTGGGAAGTATCTGGCCACCACGAAGGAGGACCCGTCGCTGGCAGATGCCTTCCCCACTCCCATTTTCTTGGTGTTTTTCCAGACCATGGCTGTGAAGTGTCCTGCAGCGGGTGGGCAGGGAAAAGGGAAACAGGTTCATTAGTAGAAGGATGTTTCAAGGGAGTCTTGAGCTCCGGCACCACCCAGCCAGGCTTGGGGTGGTGGTGGGGGGTTGATCTTCACAAGCACCAATCAGAGGAAGGAGACAAAAGACACACGGGTGTCTGATTTGTCTGACATTATCCAGCCCTTGCTCAGTTCAGCACTTCTTGATGCCAAAAGGTTTCATGGTCTCCCATGATGACAAAGCTGAGTGACCCTGACAATTAGGAAGCCACCCTCCCTAACACCAGTCTCCCCAAACAGCACACTCTTCAAGGTCACCAACCATCTCCAAGTTCCTCCCCAATGGTCAATTTTCGTCTTCATCTCACTTGACATCTCAGGACTATTCAGTAGTGTTGACTCTTGCCCTTCCAAAGCACTCTCCTCTTTCAGTTTTCACGTTGTCACCCACTCCCAGAACACCCCCCACCCCCATCTGCTGCCTCTCATTCCTCCTCTTCCATCTCACCAGTAAGTGGTGGAGGACCAGCATTGCCCAAGACTCAATCCCGGACTCTGTGCTTGCTGTACTCTGTAGCTCTGTAGACAGTTTCATCTTTGCTTGGCTCCAAACTATTTCTCCAGCCCAAACCTCTCCTCTGTGCTCCCGACACTCCTGCCTACTTGATATTTCTACTTGAACTTCTCTTGGGCAACTCAAATGTAATGTCTCCAAGCCTCATTCTTGATTTTGGTCCCCAATGTCCCAAGTTACCCTTTTCCCCACCCTACCATTTCCGTGAGTGGTACCTCTATATACCTGACTAGAGGGGTTGCTCTGCCATCCTCCCTCCCCCTCATTTTCCCACAACAACTTATTCTTCAATCCTGAAGGAGCTAACTCTAAAATGTATTTCAAGTTCATCCACTCCCAAAATTGGTCCCAAGCAGAAGTATCTCACTCAGAGCACTGTGATCACCCTCACTGGTTCTCTAGTGCCCACCTTCGCTACAATTCACTTTCTACTTAAGTAGCCAAAGTGATGGTTTTGAGATACAAAGCACATCTGTTTATTTCCCTGTTTAAAAATCCTGCATTAGGAGCCTCCCTGGTACTCTAGGGGTTAAGTCTCAGCACTACTACTGCAATGACCTGAGTTCAATCCTGGCCAGGGAGGTGACCCACATGGCACAGCAGACCTCTCCTGTCTTGCCTGCTGCTCGCTCTGCAGTGTATTTCAGTAGATCCTTCTGTTCTGCTCCCCCCTCTTTCTGGTGAATCCTTACATACACACACCTCTGGCCTAGACTCCAGTTCTTCAATGCAAAAATAAATAAAATTAAAAAAAAAAAATCCTGCTCTCAGGTGTATAAAGAACCAGAAGAGAAAATAATAATAATAATGAACAACTATATACCAGAGACATTTTAAGGGGGTAGAGTGGGGAATGGGATCAAATATGGGGGGCGGGAGGGAAATGCACTGGACTATGGTGATGGCACATGGGTGATTTGGTGATGAGAAGCCCATAGGGATTACAACTGAGATGGGAAAAGGCACAAAATGATGTTAAAATGTTATTTTTTTTTAAAAAAATGATTTAAAAAATGCTGCTATCAATTCCAGCTGCACCTGGAAAGACAGTGACTGCTTTGGCCCTGTGGCCTCCTTTCCATTCCCTGAGCACACCAGCAGGTCACTGCACCAGATGCTCTTCTGATGACCACCATCATCTTGTCCCTCTAACATTTCAGTCTAATGTCACTTGTTCACAGAAGTCTTTCATACTCACTCTTTCATTTCCTCAGCACCTTGCTCCCAAGAAAGTCACATCCACTTGTTCCTGCAGGTCCCCCTCTTCCCCTACCCCCCAGTATTCTTATCATGTGCAATGATTTATTTGTCTGATTACTTGCTAATTGCTTGACTCTTTCAATAGGTAACAAGCCCCACATGGGCAGAGACCAAATTGTATTATTCCCCCAAAATATGCCCACAAGCTACCTGTCATCTGGTACATGAAAGTGTCAAATAAGATGTTGTCAAATGAATGAATGAATGAATGAATGAACACAAGGCAGATGGAAGAACCATCTCGGACTCAGAGTCTGGCCTTACAGGAAGTGCAGCCTTTCTATGCTTTGAGTTTTTTGAGACCTTGACAGATTAGAATGTCTTTCGTTCCCTCTGTTCTAAGCCAAACAGCTTGTAAAGCTACTGCCTGACCCTCCAGACACTTCTAGGGCTGACTGAGGCTTCTCCGCATTGGCCCTCATTGGTCTTTCTGGCTGCTAATGTAGCTTGGCCTCCATCTCCTCCCTACACTCCATGTTGGGCAGAGTCTTTGCAAGACAACAGATCCCAAAAGTCCCACATCACCAAACTCGTTTCAGCCTCTCCCAGAAATGGGCCCTTCAATTTTAGCCAATAAGGAGTCACCTGGTCAGTCCAGTGAGGTCATCTGCCTGCCAGGCTCTGCCACCCCTCAAGGAAAGTGCTCTGCTACAGCCAGACCAGGCTTTGCTAATTTAACTTCCTGTTGCCTGCTCACTTCTGCCTGTAAAAGTCTTTTTGAAGGGCTCCTCTGAGCTCCTTTCTATTGAGTCTATGCCAGAGTCCAGGACACTGACTGACTTACGATCATGCTATAAAGCCAATAAGATCTTTAAGATTTACTCAGTGTAGGGTGTATGGAAGGGATCAGTTTTTTTCCACCCTCCCACAAATTAGCACCTATGATTGACACCTGTGGTCTTACAAGCAGGCCTGATGGTGGCACCTGGAGTGTCTCTGTGTGAGCGTGAGTGGGTGCCCCTGAGCAGGGAGGCTGGCATGTAAGGTGGCAGCAAAAGAGGATGGAAGGTGGGCAAGGGGAAGGAGAGACCAGAGAAGAGACCACAAGGGGATGCCAGAGGGCCCAGAAAGAGTAAAAAATGCGCTGGGTTGGGGGGAGGTCTGCTAGCCTCCTGGTGCCCGGGCCTCCCCACCTGCCTTGCACCTGGTTGCCTCACTATAAATGCCATAGAAAGATCATTAAAACCCTGAAAAAGCCACCGAGGGCTCCAGGACTTCTCCTTTACCCATGTCCCTGCATCACTCCAAACCTGCCTTGCACCTTGCTGGCGCTACACTGAGCTATACTGTAGTTTTTAAAGCACTCTTTGCTCAATGACCATAATAAATTCTCAGCTCCTGGAAGTAGAAGTCAGAGGTTAAGGACTTACTCACGGAAAGCTTTTGACAGGTCACAGAAGGGCATTCATTTGCTAAATGAACCCTGAAGAGATCAGTTTCTCCTTCTGGGCAAGTACCACAGCTGTCCCAAGGAGCACTCTATCCCCAGTGCTGAACACAGGGCCTGGCACACAGTAGGTCAGCTCATCACTGATACACATGTGGTCTGCACAGTAGGTCAGCTCACCACAGATACACACATGGTCTGCACAGTAGGTCAGCTCAACACAGATACACACGAGATCTACATAGTAGGTCAGCTCAGTAGCTGATGGAGGGAGGAGGGAGGAGAAAAACCATGATCAAAGTAACTAAGCACCCCATAGGGTGGTTAAGAAAGAAAGAGGGCAACCATTTTGCACTCAGTAGGATAGACATTAATTTAAAAAAAACAAACAAGCATAAAATGACAAGTTGTAGGAGAAATGAGTTTAAAATCAGGCTTTTTTACATCCTCAGCCATTAGCATCTATAACTGGAACTTGTGGCCTTTCACATACACCTGTTGTTATATAAAACAGGGATACCTGGATTAAGGGATATGAACGGGCTATCAGGGCAGCACCACTCTGCGACGGAAGGGAGTGGGAGCAGCCAGAGAAGTACCGACAGAGAAAGCTGATCTGTCCCCTGATTCAACATTAAAGGCTTATAAGTCTGCTGGTGGCTCCCAAATTATCTTTTTCTCTGAGACAACCAACAATGAACCTACCTGGCTTAGGATGATTATAAAATCAACTCTTGACAGTGTTGGTCAAGTTTTGGAAAAACTGGAATCTTACACTTTGCTGATGGAAATGCAAAATGATGCAGCTGCTATGAAAGACACTAGTGAATGTAGAATTGCCATATGATATAGTAATTCTACATCTAGGAAAATTCCCCCTCCTTAAAAGAATATATACATTTTAAAGATTTATTTACTTATGCATACAAAAACTGGGGCACAGGCCGAGGGACAGGGATTGAGAGGATTCACCAGAGACCGAGTGGGGAGCAGAACAGGCAGACTGACAGAAAGACACTGCTGAGGGTAGCAGCGGGCTGGTCAGGAGAGGTCTGTTTCGCCATGGGGGTCAACTCCCTCACCAGGGATTGAACTTGAGCTACACTGGCTTCAGATCATTTCATGGTACTGTGCTTAACCAGGGAGGGCCCCCCTCAAAAAGAGATTTGAAAGCAGGGACCAGTGTGTTCAGGGAATGGAAAGGAGGCCATTGTGCCAGAGCATTCACTGTCATTCTAGGTGCAGCTGGTGTTGGTGGCAGGAATATGTACACCTGTGTTCACAGCTGCATTACTTACAAAAGCCCAAAGGGGAAAAACCCAATGTTCATCCACAAGCTAATAGAGAAGCACTCATGTACTCACAGTGGAATATTACGTAGCCTTCAGAAGGAGTGAAGTTCTGATACATGTGACAACATGCATGAACTTTGAAGACATTCTGCTAATGGAAATAAGTCAGATACAAAAGGATACATACTATATGATTCCTCTCACATAAGTCAAATTCTTAAAAAGAAAATGGAGCCACAGTCACTAGGACTAGGATGTTGGCAGCAGGGAGGGATGGACAGCTATTGCTTAAGGTGCTCAGAGTTTCAGTTTGGGATGATGTGAAAGTTCAGGAGGTGGACGGTGGGGGTAGCTGCTCAACGGCATGCAACCTCTAAACCATACGTTTACAAATGACTAAAATGGTAAAATTTATGTTAAGTATATTTTACCACAAAACTAAAGGGTGAGGGGGATGGCAACTGAGCCTATATCCACACTCTTCCAGTCCTTTGGGGAAGAGTTAAAGTTGATATTTCCCTTTGTGCCTCCTATATGGTAAGGACTGAATAAACATTCATGGACTAAATGGTACCTTCCAGCTCTACAATGGAATTCCAATTGTATAATTTTGCAATTCTGGTATAGTTTGTTTCTCCACCTACAGCCACATAGAATTTGACAGCTACTAAATTTGGTCACTCACTAACTGGTCATGAACACGAATCCACAGAGTTGATGTGAACAACCAAAGCAAGAATGAAAGGAAAATGAGCCCTTGGAGCAATTACACATCTTTACCAGTGAGCCTTAACCTTGTTTGGGTCATTGCCCAATCCGCTCTGGCTCTGACCTCAGACCAGGGGACAAGCACTTCTTGTTGACTCACCCTGGTCCTCAGACTTCGGTGTTACTTTGCCAAGCGTTCAGCTTCTACAGGCTGTCTTCAAGGCTCCAGCCTTCTTATTCTTTCCCAGAGCCCACAGGCATTGGCCCTTGACCCCCGACTCTCAGGCTCCCAGACAAGAAAGAGCTGCCATTTGTCTGCTGGTTGTCAAGGAAACAATGCCAACACAACATGCTTAGGGAGCATGAATGCTATGGTAGCCCTTTCCAAACAGATGCAACTGATCTTTTGCTGGGCTGGGAGGCGTCTGTCTACACAGAGGTAATTAAGGATTAGTATGTAGGGCTGAGGTGAAGGACCCACCTTCCTTAGCAACCATCAGATACTGTTTTCTCTACTAACAACTTCCTTTTTCTCTTCCCCGAAAGGGACCATGTCCTCTTTCTTACTACAGACCCAAGTTTCTAGAATAGATCTGTGAAAAACACATTAATAAGTTCCATAGATTCTTGCAAGGGAATATGAGCGACAGTGAGAAAGAATGAGAAGACTCCTTTTGTGATGCTATGGAACAGTCGTTGACCATCTGCAGTATGAAGAAAGCAAATGCAAGAGATCATATATCTGACTCGAGTCTAAAAAGGGGAGTGAGGGGGCACACACACAAATGCTGGCACAGGCTCAAACCACACTGGAATCATATACAAGACCCGTCGGGGGTGGTGGGGGAATGCGGGATCGCGGTGACGGAAGGGAGAATCTTCTATAGCTTGCAATTTTCATATCATACCATTAAAATAGAATATAACCAAGGAATTTAAGAAATCACTTCTTCCACTCAGTAAACAGCATAGAACTGTGTCCTTCATCACAACAGTGAGGTCTTGGCTGGGGACAGATTCAAGGAGATTTTAGACACCTTTTCCTATGGAAATTGGGGGGGAAGCTGAGGCATGGGTCTGGTGGGTCTGAGGCCCTCTGCAGAGGGGTCTTGCAAGCCCAGATGATAACACCAACCAAAGTTGTGCTTCAGCCTTGGCTCGGGCTCTGTCCCCAGCCAATGGCCTTGGGCCCTGAAAGGCTATAGGGACAAAGCTCTGACTTCCTCTATAGAGGTGGGCACCATGGTGCAACGGTGGTGCAGGAGGTCAGTGATCAAGGCCAGCTGAGCCCCAGTCCCACCTCTGACTCTGTCACTTGCTGTGGACGATGGACCATGGATAAAGGATCAGACTGGACACAGCCTTGAGAGAAGACTTTCCCTCCGGGCCTTCGTTTCCTTCTTTCCAAAATGGGTGGAATAAAGACCACGTCCAAATGGCATCATGAGGGTGGCGTGGCCATGATGGGGAGGAGCTGTGCACACGTGAGCAACGCTAGGCATTTGCTCTGACACACATGCAACGGCTCATGAATTTTGCTCATAAGAAAAGCAAACCCAGACCCGATGAAATATATAACACCTCCTGGATGCCGATGTTTATGAAAAGGAGACAAGGGACAAGGTTCTGCCCACCCCCAGCCTTTCCCCACCCCCACCCCCCACCCCCACGCTTAATCATGGCTTGGAGGATGCTACTGCTCCCTCCCCACCCCTCTAACTGAAGTGCCACAGATTCTCATTCCAAGGGGGTATTTGTGGGGGGGGGGTAAGAGGTGAGGGGGTAAGAGGACTTGACCTTGCACCAGCTTGGAGTGCTGAGAGCAGCAACACCTTGGCAGAGACTTGGTACCTCTGCCCTATCCCTGCCCACACAGTTGCAAAAACCCAAAGCGTTGCTAACAACAGGAAACATGACTGACTCTCAGAACACTTCCTGCTTCTGAAGAATCCTCCAGAGGGTGAGAGGTCATAAGTGGCCCCGGCCATGGATGGGGTAGACATATGGGGTAGAGTAGAGTTTTAGAGTGGGGTAGAGGTATGGGGTGGGCAGGGAGTTCCCTTTTCCCTTTCCCTGGGCCTTACGGTCAGGGACACTCACAGCCCTTCCTGACCCATCCTGGGCCCCAGGAAGAGCTGCGTGGCTTCTGAGGAAGACAAGGAACCTGGCAGGGGCTGGCAAGGGGCAGGCTCATCTGAGCATTCACCAATCACCGGAGGCCTGAGATAAAGGCTGGTGGTTCCATGGCAAGCTTTCTCCCTGCATCTAAGCACCAGTTCTCATCAGAATGTTCATCACCACCTTGTCCCTCTTCCTCAGGGACAGGGGAGGGTAGGGAGTCAACCCAGATTAACACAGCTAATTGTGCCAGAGCTGTGGCTAGATTCTGATTGTTCACATCCCAAGCTCCCCTGAATCATAAACCCAAACATAGAGGTGGAGGGAGAATGCTTAGGAGCCCTGTGGTGGGGCGCGTGGCTGGGAGGATGTGGGGTGTGAGGTAGGAGGGGTTGTCACCAGAGGCATGAGCAGGTTGGCAGTTTAATCACGAGAACAGCCTGGACAGAGATGATTTTAGAATATTCTGATGACTGAAGAGAAGGTTAGATTGGAGGTGAGTAAGACTACACGTAGGATGACGCATTTAAAAGTGCAGAAAGACCACTCTGGGAGAAAAGCACTCTGCAGCTTTAAAAGCTCGTCTCCTGTGACACTCCAGCCCTTTGCAGGGCTGAGCTGGGCTCGGGGGTTCTAACTGGGGTGCTCATACATGGTGGGGTGTGGTTGTGTATGTGTGTTAGGAGAAGAGGTACTGGGGAAAGACTTTTGTCCTTTCTTTGAGTAGTCAAATCAAGAAACACGGAAGAGGGAAACGACTGTTGTCTGAGAGTTAGCACCACAGCAAAATCAGACACCAAGAGCAACAGGGCCAGGACGCTGCTGGGGTCCACCACTCACCAGTCCCGGAGGTGAAGCCAGGCTGCTGGAAGTTGTAGCTCTTAATTTCATTGTACCATCTCTCTGCCACCTCCTTTCCTGCATAGAAAAGACAGCTTTAAAACTCAGCAACAAAAATCGGTCCATTCTCTATTTTCCCATCTTCTCCCATCAACTCCAAATCACCCATCCCACCAGTAGATAACAGAAAAAAAAAAACCAGCGGGCTGAAACAGGAGCAGGCCCAGGCTGGAGGGGGCCTGTGGGGAGCTAGGAAGAGCCCTGATCTGGGGTCTGGGGACCTGTATCTATCTACCTGTGTCCCTGGTCTGCTGCTAACTTATTGTGTCACCTGGGGCCAGGCCTTCCCCTCTCTTGGCCTCTGCATAAAAGGGAAGCTTCCAACTTACTCCAAGGACTTTTCATGAGGTTCCGGGTTTCCAGGAGACTGCCTTCAGCCCACCCCAAACCTGGTTCCCGAAATCTCTATAGGAGGCAAGGCAATTGAAGTGGCAGGCCAGGGTCTCTGCTGCAGACAGGAGGACTTAGGCGGGTGGATCTGAGATGTGAGAACACCCACAGCATTTTCCTGGCAGCGGTGGCTCTGAGAGTCAGATCTCAGGTTCTACTTAAAATAAAGATACTACCTTCAGTAGGCCAGGGTTGAGCCTGGGAGTCTGCTTTTCAAATAATTCCCAGACCTAGTTTCTTGCTGCTGATCAGTGGACCCCAGAGTAGCAAGGTCTTGACCTTACCTGGGGAGCATCTAAAAATTACCGAAGTTGGCCCTCCCTGGTGGCACAGCGGGTTAAAGCACTGCACTGAGAAGCTGAAGCCACTTCCGCATGAGTTCGATTCCCGCCTGCCCCGGAGGAGACCACATGGCG